CAGATTACATAAAGGTGCATACACATACCACATAGCTACAGCTGATAATAAACATCATACAGAAACTGTTCTTAATGTTTTTATCTGGATAGATAAAGGGTAAAACAAATGCAGCACCTTCTGTTTCAGATGTATAGGCTTTTCCTAGGCTTTGCCTATACATATGAGTATGAGCATTTTCAGAATTTCAGTCCAACAACTGACGTTAGCTCACGTTACGTTCTCTGTCGCTGAGAGCTTGATTGACAGCCTGCGTGGCGAATCAACACTTGGCTCATTTGAATATTAACATTAGCCATGTGTTGATAGGTCACAACAGGAAAATGTAACCAATGAAATGACTTATTTTGACACAGCTTTTTAGCCAATGAGTATTAAACTAACGAGGTAATGTGTCAAAAGGCGGACCTTTTTAGTTATTTTCTCAAAAGCAGGACAAATGAGTGTCCGGCTTAAGGCTGTGCCTGCAGCCGGACAGGGCATTTAAAAGCCGGACGAATGGCCACCCTATCCAATACTCTGACAGCTAAAATCAAACATGGTGAATGTGGCTGTTTAATATGATCAGTACATTAGTTCTTCAGTCCACGAGCACAGTTTTATTGTCGCTTCTTCCATGGTTAAGCCATGTAGAGCTTATTTGTGCATACATCAGCTTGTACATACAACAGGAACTTAGCAGCAGCAGATTTTGACAATTTACAGATTATTAATAGATGTTTTACTTTTTTGGCATTTCACTTCAACAGGTGAGAGAGATAGGTAAGGCAGGGAAGGTACAGCCTTGGCGGTATTATTGGCCTGTTTCTGTGACTATTTTTTGTGAGAGTGTGTGCTCTGTTCCTGTGAGGATCTTTGAGTGTGAATCTGTAGGTCTCCCTTCCCCTGACTGGGTGGATGAGTGGGCTGCTGCTGGTTGGCTCCTCCTCAACATCCTGCAGTTTAAAATGGCTGGGCTTTCCAGTACTACGGTGGCACAAACCTGACAAGTTGGTTCTGTCCTCAGCCCCCAAACTAGATTTCTGACATTTGGTTCTATTAATATATTTAAAACTTTGTAAATAGATCTGTCCCCTTTGTTGTAGATAACATGTGGAGGTGAACTGACATTTTCTGAAATTCTTTTCTCCTGTTCTGCTTTACCTTAGAGAGTCAGATTTAGTCTTTTGTTCTGTTTTATTTTCACCTAGGCTTAGTCAGCACTTCTTTGAAAAGATAGTTCCCTTTTATGTATTGTTTTTGGCCTTTGTTCACCCTAAAGTCATTTTCACATTGATTGTAGTAATATATTATCTCGATTTATTGATAAATCAGTGTTTTGACTTTGGTTTAGGGACCGGGAGGCTCTGTGGGCAAAAACAAGAGATGCATTGTTCGCCCACTTAACTGTGCACCAGCCCATATCCTCCTCATGGTGAAAGCTGATTGTGGATTAGATTTTGTTGTGTGTGCACACACGTGCATTCATGGCAACCCTCAAACCACAGAGGGCATCACATAACAAATCTATAAAAAAAACGAAACAACAGTCAAACCACTTCATCATCTGATTGACTTAATTCCTTAGACATGCTGCCTGTGCCCGTTTTAGTCATTTGGGGCCAGTGGACCAGTATGTAGCATTTAGTGGCATCTAGTGGTGTAGTTGCAGATTGCAACTCCCCTGCTTCACACTCTCCTTCCAAGCTTGAAGGAGAAACAACAGTGGCTGCAAAAAGTTTGAAAAATTAAAATGCCCCTATCAGAAGTTTGGTTTGGTTTGTACACGGCTACTGTGAGAAATATTACCCTATTAAAGGACCAGTGTGTAGGATTTAATGGCATCTAGCAATGAGATAGCAGAGTGCAACCAACTGAAACCCCTTGACGCAAAGCACAAAGGAGAAACTATGTTGACAGTAAAAACTTGAGAAAGGCCGTATTTGGTTTGTCCATCCTGGACTACTGTAGAATCATGGCGGACTCCTTCAGAGAGGACCTGCACCCTCTGTAGATAAAAAAGGGTTCATTCTAAGGTAGAAAGAAGAAAACACAATGTATTTTCAGGTGATTACACACTAATGAAAACTAACCTATGAATATTCTATTCCATTTTTCCAATAGATTAGAATCAGAAGATATAGAAAAAAAAGAAGATATAGAAAAAAATAATTAAACATATGGTTTCAGCCTAATAGTGTCTGGGCTTGGCATGGTTGAGGTTATAGGCTCTGCCAATCCCAGCAAAGGAGGCAGGGTTTATCTGCAGCCTGGGGGGATAGTAACCTCATTAGATTAGTGAATCTGAATTTTAGTAAGCACATCTGATTCTTTTATCCATGTTATGGCTGCTGGACACAAAGAGAGCAATAAGTAGTATTCTTTAAAAGACTCATTATCCCTTTAGCTTAAAAAGTGTTGGGAGGCATGGCCAATTAAAAATTACATTTGGATGAAGCTTAAATGTCGGTTCATCCAAATGAAGTCAGAATCAGAATCAGACATACTTTAAGTCATACAGTATTTCCTCACTCATGTAATATCTCTCTAATCAGTTTTCATTTCATCTATCCAGGTCTGAGATTTTTAACTCCAACTATACACTGGAGGTGAATGGAATTTGCTGCTCACAGCACTGAAGAATTACCTTAAGAAATCAACAGAGTCCCAGCTAGGCCAGAATTATACCTTTTCTGACTACATCTACAGCTATGAGGGTGTGCATAACTCAAAATTGACATGCACTACAAAATGTATGACTGACTACAAATGTTAACATGACCGCCAGTGCAAACATCTAGTAGTCTATCTATGTAGTATAAAGAGAACAGTGCATCTGCTGTGAATTTTGTACATCAATTATGAGGGACTAATATTCAGAAACATATTTTAGGGTACTATTGTTGTAAGTTGAGAAGGCCAACATACTCTCCCGCAACAGATGAGTTAAAAAATAAGCGCAGCCCAACTTGCAGTATGTCACTAGCGCTGGCTTCAAAAAAACAATATGGCAACGAACATAATTCCAAACTTGAGGCTTCAAAACAGTAGGTGACAGCACATAAGGTTCACACTTGGTCACAACATAGATGTTACAAAGCTGTTTTTACAGTCTGAGTTGTAATCAACATGATTAATAAACTGATCGTCAGTGGTGTAGTGCAGGGTATATACAGAGTATACCAAGTATTTAGCAATGAGTATACCCACTAAATCCACTCTGATGCATGCATGTGAGCTGAATGTTTTTTCCTAGGATAGTGAAGGCATAAGAAATACTTAAAGGTGCCTCTCTCTATATTCTGTGCACCATTATTAAATGCAAAATCTGCACCTCTTCTGTGTCTGATGTTAATTTCATAATGATATGCTCACTGAAGTCAAGCAGCAGAAGTTAAGTGACACTGTGCAAATACTACTGTCCCATTTTTTGGTGAACTAAATATAGTAGTCTCGCATGTCACTGTTTATAACACAGGGTGTTTATCCATTGCTGAATGGGCCACTTTGAAAAATAATAGGGGGCATAAACCACTGCCGATCTTCATAAGATTGATGTTGGAATTGCTTCTATAAGAAAAAATATATTTTCATTTCAGTTATGTTTTACATTTCACCAATACTCTCTCCTCAGACTGACTTTACTGTAACAAAGAATATCTATTCTACTCTGCTCCATTCTGCACTACTTTCTCAGTCCCTCCCTCCACTGTAGTAAACATATTTAGACTGGTCGGGGAAAAACCTTGAAATAGTCATAAATTCTGGGTAAAGATGTTTTTTACACTCCAGGCTGAGCTATTCCTTATCTAAATGGACTCCCTGCACTGTGTCTGCATGCAGCCTCCTCCAGCAGAACCTCCATCCTCTGTCATGTTGCAGGCAAGTGTTTCAGATGATACTCCATCATGGAGATACACTACATCTGAGCTTCATTAACATATGCAGAACATTAGGGAGACTAAACATAGCTGCTTCTGACACTGATATGTGGACCTGGGTACAAAAGCAACTGTGGACTACATCCTTTATGCCTATGGGAAGAACACAGGAAATGTTTTGTGTAGAAAGTGTGTGAGCAGTATTCAAGATACAATATGTAATATCTGCCATTACGGAGCCTTTCACATCAAAGCAATAACAAAAGTTTGATGACGTTGAAATAGCATGGGATGATGGCAATTCTGGTTAAGATTCATTCAGTGTTCATCGTTCAGGAGATCTCCTCCTCTCAAAAACAAATGGACCCGCTGATTAAAACCGGAAAAAGACTGAAGCAGTTTCAGTGTTTCTCTGATGCTGTGGAGAAAGGACGTCCTGGAGGGGCTGTGAGCCAAACTGCTGCTAACGTTAGCTAAGCTTGATTTTCTGTTTCTCTGAGGTAAATACAACAAAGATCTAAAAAGTTTAAAATAAAAATGTGGCTTTATCTGGATAAAAAAGTACATTTATGACAAACAACAACGCTGACACATGCACAAAGGAGATTTCTCTGGGTTTGGGAAATGTTTGGGATAATGTACACAACTCAACTACATACAGAACACATGTCTAGGTTTTTATAGACATTTTAATGTGGAAATGTTACATAGTGTAGCTCTAACTTGTCTACCTGTACCGCCCCCCCCCCACACACACACACACACAAACAATGAAAAAGACCATTAGCTTGTGGCTATGGGGAGCGAAGCATGATGCAATCATTGCTGAGCCTTCAGAGTTTCTTAGCTGTGTGTGTGTGTGTTTGAGGACACACGTCCTTATTTCCACATACTGTATCCCCGGGGGCGTCAAACCTTTTGTTTGCGCACCAACTCTAAAATAATGGAGGTAGAATTAGAGTGTAGATCTTTGTTTTCTCATGGCTTTGCTTCTCCCCACAGGAATACAGCCGTGGTTACACCATCATTATAAATTCTCTCAACGGACAAAGGTCACCGTCGGATACTGGGGAAAGAAAATGCTGATGAGGGAGCAGAAAGAGAAAAAAAGATCAAATTAAAAACGGCGCCACACATGTATTAACATGGAATTTATCTTTACTTAAAAACATCTTTGTACAGGGTCTCTAGGGGTTTACAAACGGCTGAGCACGCATACAGTACTGATGTATTTTGTTTACAGACACTCATCCAGACACAAATATACCACAACTAATAAATACAGACAAACATTTTATACAGCATTTACAGAGTACAGGGGAGCTACATGTCATTTATTAAACAACAAATCTCATCAGTGGACCAGTTGCAGGAAATTATTTCTCAGGTTTTAAAATATATTGAAGGTACCATTCAATGACACTGACAACACTGCATGTGCTTCTTCTTCTTCTTCTTCTTCTTCTTCTGTTTGCATGCAATTCCATCAAAAGGACTTTGTCTTGTCTCTACGGCAGGGAATTAGGACTGGGTATGGAACACTTCGTGAGTAGAGTAAATTGTGTCAGAACAGAATTTTTTTTTCCTGTTTTATTGGTGTTCTAACTATACCCAGCCCCACAGATAATAAATTGGTATAGCCACTGTATCTACATGCTATTATGATGTACACCGACATATCACAAACAAGTGCTGAAATGGATCTATCAGCTGGGAATCAAAGGGAACTCTTTTAACTGGTGCAAGTTGCATCAAACTTTACTGCAATGCAGTAAATTAACTGTGTCGTAAGTCCTAGAGCATGTTTGATCTTGTGTGTTTTTGGTTTATTGTATCACACTGTCATATTAACTGTGAGCCCTCTGTATTGCTAGAGTAAATCAATGAGACCATGGCTGATGATTGGCAGCCTGTCAAAATAGACCTGTGCCTAATCTGTGCTCCAGTTTCATACTAGTATATACACTAATGCTAGCTTCATTTAAGTCTGTAGTTCTAAAAGGCATGTATACATTTTGTCCTGTAAAGCAGTCCTGCAGTTATTGTACCACATCTGACATTCTGGCTCAAACTGTGAAATTAAGTCACCAGTAATGGCTATCAATCTTCAGTGATGGTCTCATTGATATCCAAATAGGCCACAGTATGTGTAGCAACTTGAACAATAACTGCCGTAAGTCCACTGTAAGATACTGCTGGGAGAGATTTAAACTGGTGGCTGGTTGTTATGGAGAATTTGTCTTGAAGCTGGTAAGGCTGCACTTCACTGGGAGACTTGGTTCATGCAGGCTGGCTGGCCATCTGGGTTCAGTGCCTCTCAATGATTGGCTGTTTATGGTGATGCTTCCTCAGCCTGGGTCCTGAATGAGGAAAGAAAAAATATTTGTTGGTAAAAGTTTATCTTCTAAAAATCAATGCACTCCTTATGGAGAGAGGAAACTTTGAAGATAAGACAATTTGTGCATCTTGCCATTAAGAATATCAAGTAATCAAGTTACAATTTGTTTTTGTGACTATAAACCAAATAAGGATGTTTAAATCTTTAGAAACAAAGCTAACAGGATAGTAAGGATAATATCAATAAAACATAGTCCTGAGAAGATTTTGCATAAGGGAACTGAAAAAATCACCCAGATTTAAATGAGCATGATCATCAATATCATTGTGTTTTGTACTTTTGTGTTTTGTTTTTATTAAACTGTAGTTTCTTCAGGTATCAGTTCAGGTATTATGTTTATTAAAATATGCATATAGGATTTTTAGGTTGTGAGATTTCGATACCTGACTTATATAAAGACACCTTTTTGATTCATGCACCCCAGGTCTATTAAAACAAATCATCCTTCTTTTCTTTTTATTCCTTACTGTGCTTCAGGGTGCTTTGGTGTCCGGGAGTCTGGAAAGTTCGGGTGGTTGCAGGACCTTCACCATCTGCTGTGATGGCCTGGACCTCCAGCCTGTACAGACTGGCAGGCTGCAGGCCTGACACCACCAGAACATTAGCATCCTGAAAGAGAGGATGAAGGACAAACAGCGAGAGGAGAGGAGGATAAATCAGACGACGAAATATAAAATGCTCAAGGTGTGTGAAATTGTAGGGAAGCTGCAGACTAAAGGTCTTGAAAGTGTTTGTCAGCCCAGTGGACCCTGAGATTTGTCTGCACGGAAAACACATATCTAACTCAGATATGCATTAAAACTCACAGAAATGTTTCACAGAGGATAGCTTCAACTAGAAAGACAACAAAAGAGAAAATGGCATATTTTACTCTATTGCTGCTAGTCCTTAACAAATTTCAAATAAAATTGAAATAAATTGCTTAAGGAAATTTGACACATAAGCCTTTGAAAAAGCCATACACCAAATGAAAAACTAGACGGAAATTTAAAAAGACTGAATTTGCAGACCATTTTTAGCTTCAATATAGCAATTTCATTTTTTCACATTTTCAGTTTAGGCTTTTCCATTTGAACAATGTCTTCTTTTTTTTAACATAGCATTTTAGCCTGATTGCCTAAAGTAACTTAAATAACCATATCTTCTAACATATTTTCCATTTTCCATGTTCTTGCACAACAGTGTCTGCTATTCAGGTTTATGAGATTTAAAACATAAATATAGCAGCAAGCATGTATTAGCTGTTTGTTTAAATATAGTGGAGTCATGGTGTCCTGAGCGGAGAATGACACAACGCTGCCTCTGCCTAAATTGCTGCCTGTCTGTGTGCAGCTGAGAAGAGTGTTTGTATTTGTTTCTGTCCACTTTGAATGAAGTCACAATGTTAAGATGGTATGCAAGGTCAAATTCTATGGAGACAAAAGCTAGCGATAGCGATATTAAGGCTGTTTACACAATCTGTAGGGATCCTTTTCATAAGGTTTTCAGATACTCTGTCAGAGTCTGTCAGTGGCAAAAACAAGTACTTTTCCCCCAAATCTGTATCACATACATACTGTAGTTTTTTCTTGGAGGAAAATGAGAAAAAAAATTATTAGGAAATTACATACCTGCAAAATAAATTGTTAGTGTACTCTTCAATAATTCATGTATAACTCTGGGTATACCCCTTCTTTTTACTGAACACACAAGCAAACCTTAGCCAAACCCCAGATTTACATACTACTGCAGTTTATAACAGCACTGACCGAAGGTAGGATCTGGGACTGGGAGATGAGACTGTGAGGCAGCTTGTAGTTGTTGTGGCGGTTGGTGGGTATGACCTCCGCCCAGGTCACCTGGTAACCTGTCAGCTGCTGACTGGGCGAGGCTGTGGACAAATCCCAGCTAAAGATGGCTGTCATGTTGCCGCCCCGGACCTCAAAGGCCGCCGTCAGGTTGGCTGCCTTCACCAGGACCTTCTGAGGTGACACTGCTGGAGGAAGCACAGCCAGGGGTTAAATGAAGACATGTGCTAGCATGGTGAACAAGCTCTAATGGCATGTTCATGATCACCATGGGGAAGCTCAAAGCAGGCCTGAGGCATGAGCAAACTGCCAAGGACTCCCAAAAGGAGCATGAAAAAGACAAACAAGAACATGCTGACAGTCTCTCAACCAGTTTGGAATATTTGGCACATTTGTGTTTATTTTTTCCAAATTATGCTCCATTTCAACCTCTTTCAACTTTGTATTTTTTTCTATAATATTCACAGATAGGTTTTCATTAGTATATCATCACCTGAATATAGGTATTGTTGTGATAGATAGATGGATAGATAGATAGATAACTAGAATGATCTTTTTATGTACAGACAACAAATGGACAGATAAACAAACCAAACACTGGCGGTCACCATAGTTTCAGTTAGTTGTAATCTGCAACATCATCACTAGATGCAACTAAATCCTAAATACTAGTCCTTTAAGTGAGTTTAAAGAGCAATTTAAAAGAAAAGTTCAACATTTAGTTTTCTTGTCTGAGACTTAGATAAGAAGACTGACACCACTCTCATGTCCGTACGGTAATTATGAAGCTACCACTGGTAGCTGGTTAACTTAGCTTAGCACTTAGACTTAAAACATGGAAATATAACAGACATTCTAAGGTTATTAAAACACAATTCTTATTTTCAGGTGATTTTACACTAATGAAAACATACCTATGAATATTATTTTCCACTTCTGCCAATAGATCCTCCTAAATGTTACACCCAGGTCTTTAAATTTAAAAGTTTAAATTTACTGTTGCCTGTGTTGCAGGAAGTAGTGACATTAACAAGAATTGTGCTGTATTCAACCATAAAATAAATAACTTAAGGTTAACATTAAGTTAGGTTAAAGACTGATATTTCTTTGTCGGATATCATTTTATTTGTTAAACTGTGTTAATCCTAACTAATTATTCACTGTAAATTTGATGAAATATACAAAAAGAAGAATTGTTAAAAATGTTAAACTATTAGATTTGCTTTTTCATGTTGGCTGTACTCAATGTTTAACTCTCAACTTTTTTACTTACCATGTAAGTATAGCAAGAACGAGAAAACCTTTGGAATAACGTATTCACACACAATATATATATATATATATATACATTTCAGATGTATTCAGTGGAAATAAAGCCTAAAATGTTTATCATGTTGCATAATGTTTTGTTACCAAGTGACACCAGATACAAACAGTGTAAACAGTATCTTATTCAGCTCAAACAATTGCATGATTAGTTAATAGATAACTAATTTCATCAACTGTATGCAATATTTTGTTGAAATTTCAGCGGCCCTTCCAAAGGTTCAGGAGAAGTCTAGGTGTGCAGAAATCCATGGGTAAAATAATCCATCACATTGACTTGAAAGCTATACTGACCACATCATGTATTTTCAAGACCTTGTCCCACCTTTTTCTCCAGGACAGGTGATGGGTTTGGGACTCTTGGCCTGGATGGTGGCACAGGAGGGAGTGAAGAAGCTGGTGCTTTCTGCCAGAGGATGACTCTTCTTACTGACTGGCTGAAGAAGGACTTTATACTTACAGGAGAACAGCAAGCCCTGCAGACTGACAAAGCTCTCCTAGATCAGACAAAGACAGAAAATGATCACAAAATCTGATCTCCACATGCATTACGTCTTTTGTTAACCCGTACATGTTGAAATATACATTATGGCGCAATTCCAAACTCGACCCTAAAGCATAGGCACAGAACCCTCACCGACTTAGCTGACGTCACCTGGTACTCGAGGGTTAGAGGCTGCAAGGGCCTGACATTGTATAAACAGGAATGGGACAGCACTTTGCAACATATATTGCCATCAGGTGTTGTAATAAGTTTTATTAGTATTTACTGTCTCTTTATTGTTTTGGGGTTTTACTTCATTTTATCAATCTTGTTCAATTGCATCAGTCCTGACATGTATTAATTCTGGTTCAACCATGTAAAGCAATTTATAACATTCTTATTATATTACCTTATTTTATCACATTATTTTGATGATGTCAAAACAAGTTACGTAGCCTACAATCCCAATTTATAAGGGACTGAATGCATAAGTGGACGAGAGTCCACTGTCAGATAATCAATTTACTTGTTTTTGTCAAAACAGCAACTTTATCTAGTTAAAAATACCCCTTATTGTCTTGGTTATTTAGTAGAAGATCCACATGGATGGACACATTAACCAGCTACTAAAAATTCAAAGTACACACCAAATAAATGTTTACCAAAGATGGTGTCTAGAATTATAGGTAGTTTCTTATAAGTTCAGTTTTAATCAGTAACTAAAGTTACAAAAACACAATGATTCTTATTTTCAGGCGATTATACACTAATGAAAACATACCATTTCTGCCAATAGATCCTGCTAAATATTACCCACTGGACGTGTAGTTTGAAAATTTAATTAGTCAGTATTACTGTTTACCACCAAAACTAGTGGAATTAATCCCAACACTGCTCATGACATGAAGGCACATTTATTTCTTACAGAAATAAATATTATATTATATATTATATACAGGGACCGTGTTCGCCCATCAACAATACATACTATCTTGTGGCCAATCACTAACAAGATTTACAAATGTGACATTCATAGTCACACTGATAATGTTGTAAATACCTGGGTGCTGGTCTTCTCCATGGGTCTGGTCTGGTTGTGTCCACAATACTCTGGTCCCCACTGGATTCTGTAGAATTCAACTGATGGATCTGTACAAACAACAAACAACAGTTTTCAACGCTGTCCTGTGACAGCAGGTCTACAACAATGGTTGGATCTACTTAAAGAGAACTCTGGCAGTTTCAAAATGATTTTTTGTTCCCATCTTACCCAGAGTCAGAAAATAAAGTCAATACATTTCATTGTCTCACAGAGAGGGGTGTTGGACATGTAGCTCCATTAAAAGAGAAACTCACACCACAGCGGTCTTATTACCACACATTGTGACCTCTAGCCTAGACTAGAATATTTGTTTCTCTAGGCTAAATACATCCCAGACCTCAACACACACAGATGAAATTGATCGATCCTCTCTTTCTGCCACTGGAAAACATATTTCTCCCCAAACTGTTGACTGTTTGACTGTATATGCTTCTTCTGTCTGTTCCAGAAACAAAGATGAATTTTTATCTTTTTAACCTTGATGTAACCCTAACTAAGATTATCCAGGTGTTGTTTTCCAGCAACACCCAATCCAAAGACATGGCTGACATACAGTATATTCCCACTTCCATTACGCAAGTCACAGATTTAAACCACTAGCCCCACCTGGTCAACACCACACATTTAAACCCAAAACATTGTCCAACACAACTAGTGATGGGCAAGTAAATAATTAACTGTATCTGTTCAAACAACTAAATTATCTGAATTTGTATCTGTAATCTGATGGTGTTTATGCTGAAAGCAGGCAGGACTAATTTTTAAGCCTGAAATTGATATGGGCCAAACCCACTATTTTTCAGACAAATTGTGTTATTTATGAGTACGGATATTGACATATTTTACTCTGATGATGCTCATACTTGTAAAGAGAACATTATCTCTAATAGATACTCATCAGCCAAGTATCAGCTTTTCTGTGGCTGTAGTTTGGGTAAATGTGAACAGACTAACAACAAAAAGAATGACAGCTCAGTTGATGTCCATACATGCAGAAGGTTCACAGACACTGTACATCTTACTGTGTCACCCTTAAACAAAGAGCTGCAGCATAATTACAGATGGTCAGTCTTCATAAGCTGTGGAATAAAACTGTCTATGGAACTGACAGCTAGGTGCTTTACAGTATGTGTCAGAGGAAGACAAATTGTTTGTCTTATTTATCTGGATGGCAGACACTCACATAAGTTCAGACTGTACATACATACCCATGCTGCTCTGCCAGTAAACATGAACACGGAGTTGTCCATCCTGGTAGAATGGTGTCCCCACATCCAGAATGTCACCTGTAGGGGTTCTTGGAGCAGCTCTGGTTGCTTCAAAACAGACAAACTATAATTAAAACCTCACTGGTACAACTGGCCTATGCTATAGCAGACTTAGCTATTTTAGAATAAACTTTTTCACCTTGAATATTCCTGTCTTTTCTCTCAGTACCTGCTCAGCAAGTAGAGAAGCGGGCACCAAAACATTTCCAGTATTACATAATTAATTTCTTTAACAATAATTTCTTTAATTGTTAGGTATATTCATTTTGTTTTCTTATTCATGATCTTGGCCTGTCACTGTGAAAGGAACGCCTTGACATTTTGAATGAAAGATTTTTCTGAGAGGTTTGTGGGTGTGTAATGCTAAGGTTGTATCTGGGTGGAGAGGATCAGAGATTTAACACCCAAGCAGGAGAAAGTTTTAGATATTTAAGCCCCAAAGGAACTTTTTTTAAAAAGCTAAACCAGAAAAGTGTAAAATCAAATTCAAAGATCATACAAATGCATTTTCAAGACCAAGAGGAAACATTCAGTGCAGGAATTCTTACCACTTCAACATGCTGTTGTAAAGAAACTTTAGGAAAGAAGCATTAAGCCTTGCAGCAGACATGAAGATCAAGATTTTATCTTCTTGCACACTGAGGTTATCAGGCGGAAATTCAAAATCTCATTTTTGACTGATTATAAAGACATACTGTGCTGTGTGGTGAAGTGGAGGATGGCTCTGGGTCCTTTGAGCTGAGTTTGTCCCCAGTAGGACACAGCCTGTACCTCCACACTGTAGCTCCTGTTAGACCGCATGCTGTCTAGCTCCACCTGGCTCTGCACACAAACACACACACACACACACACAAACACACACACACACACACAGGAAAGTTGACAAAACACAAGAACAATGAGACTTTCATAAAATAAATGTCTGTAAAATATTCTCTACTTTTGCTAACAGAAAGGAGAAAACATTTCATTTCTGGCCTCATTTTATTTTTCTTGCAGCTTTTCTACAAGCCCTGAAAATAGCATCCCGTTGAAGGCAGGCTAAAGGCCATGTGCCAGTCTGAATTCTCAACAAATCCATGTGGCTCCCTACCCCCACTATTCCTTGATGTCAGATCTCAGAGGCTGAACATGCTACTGTGTGACTACAACATGAATCAAGAAGAATTATACTGACCTATGAAGATCTTTCCCTCTTCACCACAATGTCTTTTAACAAAGATATATAGGAGTCTTATACATATCAGCGAAATCTATGGGATTACATTGGTTACAATTTTAATTTCATCTTTTAAATGTCACATTTGTGCTTCTTTAAGTTTGTTCACTAAGGGCTTTTCACTCTGCATATACTAAGCCCAAGGCTAAGGCTAACCCCGGTCTAAGAGTTAACCCCAGAATAACATAACCGCTTTTCACATGCACACTTTTAACCTACGGGTTATAAGGGTTATAATGCTAATCCGGGGGCTATAAGATTCACACTCCACTGCTACTAGCCCTGGGTTGAATGTCCGATGGAACACTAGTAACTTTTAGTCTGGCAACTACTCAAGTTTCAGGGAATAACCCCACAAACTCAGGGTTAACATTGTTCTGAAACAGGGCCAGCAAGCCCTAGGCTAACGTCGGGGTTAGAACATGCCATGATTGTGCCAGTGGGAAAGCTTTCTTAGCCTGGGGCCAAGAAAGTTCTAGCCCTGTGCTAAGTGTAGTGTATCGGGCTAAGAATATGCAGTGTGAAAAGGCCTTTAGCCTGGGGCTAACAGGTTCCTTAGAAAAACACTTCCTATTCCCGCAGAGTCTGGACTGCCAAGATGGCGTCATTTTTATTCTTATTATTGTCTATGGTTGAACCGGTTTCTATAGTAACTCAGACAGGACAAACCAAACACTTGCTTTAGATAGGGCCTTTTGTGAGTTTTGTGGCCACTTTAATTCCTTCAACATTCTTTTAACGGAAGAGTTGTAATCTGTAACTATACAGCTAGGTGCCACTAAATCCCACACATTTAACTAGCAATAGTTCATTTAAACAACTGCAGCTTTGCAGTGGGCTTATTAAATATGATGCTGAGTGTTTTATTTTTATTTCAGCTATCCTGCCAGAGGAATTTCAACTTAAAAGTTTGAAGAAAACACTTTTACTGCACTTCTTGACTTGTTACAGAATATAACTTAAGCAGGAGGTGAATTTGGTCATATGTAGCCTAGTCTATAGGACCTGTCACTCACATGCTGTTAGAAGACAGAATAGGATAAAAGCTAGCAGTAACATGTAACCTCAGAACATTTCCAGAGTGCTGTAGTATCTCTCAGTCCTCACCTCTCTCACTGTCTTCCTTCTCTTGGTCAGGGATGAAGCAGAGGGCTGCCCGACTGCTTTCCAGCTCCAGCTGACCTTGTAGTGGTGGACGGGAACATCCAGGTCGGCAGGCATGCTCCACTGGAGCCTGGCAGACACCACCCTGCCAGGGCCAAAGCTCATATTGGCCACTCTCAGCTCAGTGGGAGCTGGAGGATTGGGGGGGTCTGAGGGTGAAGGGACGTTGTTAATATTCATCCACATGCAGTCACAGCGTAATATTACACACTAATGCTGAGATAAATAGTATATGTTAGTAATTCAACAAAACCCTACACCCCTAGACAGTGATCTATTTTTATTATTATTTATGCAGTTATACAGCATCATTTGATTTTTTTGCTTTATCAACAATGTACAAACTAAAATTGCCAAAAAATGAAAATAATAAAATCTGGATCTAGAACACACCTAGTTCATAGTACTGTTACTAGTAGTGCTAGTAGTACCAAAAATCAATTATTAGTAAGGACTACCTCTATATGATTTGCCAGAATGAAATAGATTACATTTGCTAACTAAAGTAGGAAAACGTGCTTTCTGACTGTGATTGGTTGCTGGTGTTTCAGGTTTGTACTTTCCTGTTCCTAAACATGAACACAAGCCTAACCCTAATCTCATTCAGTTATCACCTCGATACCTCACCATAGCCTAACCCTAACCCACAGTGTGAAACATGAGGGCACCGCCTCCAAGGTGAGAGAAGGCAGCTATTACTCTCACGAACGTGTCTGAGATAATTATGTTTGAACTTTTTCTGAATTTACCAACGCAGCTCCCCATGCAACCTTGGCAACCACACCGTACAAGGGACAATAAGGATTTTTTTAAGAGCTTCCTCAAACAACAAGCCTTTTACCACTAAATTTAACTGTGTAATTGTTTGATATAAATGGTCTATGCTATGCTGAAGTGTCTCTGACTAAAACAATGGCCCAATTCCAATCCTGCCCCCTCCCACTACCCACACTTAGCCTGTTTGTGTGTGCGAGTAAAGGGTCCAAGTTGGCTATAAAGCTTAAAAACCACACTCCTATCAAGTGCAACTTCTATTTTGTGTCCAGGTTTGAGGAAATGCCACAAACCTACAAATGTGAGTTCTGTGTGGCTTTTTCCAAAGAAAGTTGCCTTTCCTCAGTTAGAGGTGGCAAAAGTAGTGTGAGAGAGAGTTTTTATTTTCCTGTGCCATGATTAGAATGAGTGTGCCATGTCATTGCCTAATCTTAAAAACGATCTTTAAGATGATCTTTTAGATAAATACAACTTCAAATTACCAGTATGGAGGATTTAATGGCATCTAGTAGTGAAGTTGCAGATTGCAACCAACTGAGAAACATCGGAGGTTGTCAAACTCGCAAAAAAAAAATGTGAAAGGCCCTATGTGTGTAGTTGGTCCCTTCTGGGCTACTGTAGAAACATGGTGGCCTCCATAGAAGAGGACCTGCTCCTTCTGTGGAAAACAGTTAATTCTAAGGTAAAACACAACAATTTTTATTTTCAGGTGATTATACACTGAAAACATAGCTATGAATGTTATATTCCATTTCTGCCAATAGATCCTCCTAAATGTTACACACTGGACCTTTAATTATTTAATTATTATATCATTGTGCAGGAGGAACTGGGCGTACATTTATGATATTAGTTAGCTAAACTTGATGTACTGTCATTTCCTCTAGCATTTTGTTTAATATGAACAACAACAATATGAACTTGGGCTGTTGATCATTTCAGTCGTTGTTAGACACTTTGCTTGACTCTTCTGCCATTTTGTTACGTTCAGTCTAATTTCCAAAATCTGAAAAAACATTTTGCAGCACAAGCAGTTACTTTTTACTCTGTCAAGGTGACATTTTCTGTCAGTACAATCTGTGCTTTTAAGGATACTTGCTTTCACAGTTATAGTGACACAAGAACAAACGCTCTAACACACACACATACAGAGTGTGTGTGTGTGTCTGACCTCTGCTGGAGTGGATGTGTCTGCTGGGTGTGGTGAAACCTCTGGTCCCATGGGTGTTGACAGCCGCCACTCTGAACTGGTACCAGCGACCTGGCCGGATGTCAGAGAGCCTCGCTCCCTGCTCTGTGGTCTGTTGGAGGAGGCAAGACAAGATATGAACATAAAGTCTCAGACAAGAATAATATGCATAATAATGTAACAGTCACATACTGCAGGAACACACAGTGTCCCCTTATAGTGACATTCAGCTGGAACTTATGATTTTGACACTGTTATTTAAATTTTTTGCAATCCACGCTTAAATGTCTTAACAGGAAAACTGTTAAATGTCTCCTCCTTCATCCTATTCTTCCAGTCTGTATCACAGTCAGCATGTGTCAAGCAAAGGGATACATAGTCACATTTTAGTTGTTTTAATTTACATACTTCCCTGTTTCTGCTGTGCTGAGACATTGGTCAAATCAGATTTTTATGGTCATCTTATCATAAAAATACAGGTATATGACAACATCAGCACTGTATGCAGAGAATTAAACACTAAAATTGCAGCAGGTATTCTCAAAAATGTTGGTGAGAAAACAAACACTATGTCACAAAAAGTTTGTTTAGCATGGATGTACTCTAAAGCAGCAGCCTTAGGCACTGGAGAATACAGGAATTATGGGTTCAACCTGACATTTGGCAGCTGTGTCAGTGTTTTTGTGTCTTCTATCAAAAGCCATCTGTGTTTTCATGGTCAAAAACACGCCATCACATTTTAAAGGGCATTTATTTGGATATATCTGAAACATAATAGGTATTCCAGTGGTGGGCATAAGACTGGCTCTGCATATTTATTTTATTTATTTATTTAGTTGTTGCTTTATTTAGCAGGGACAGTGCACGTTGATAAAAGATTACTGCAAATGTGCCAGAGTTTGCCAAGAGGCTATTTTTTATCTGTAGTCCCTGGACAGATGTTACAAAGTCAACTTAAAAACAGAAAATAAGACCAAAAAAAGTTATTATGATTATTAATAATCATGCTGAACAATAATATAAATAAGATATTAATGTAATAGAATCATCATTCTGGACACCCAGACACTCAGTAGGCAATATGGTCATTTATAAAACCCAATGTGAACAACCAAGCAGGTTCTTTTAAGTAACCTGCTCTGTAAGCTATGGTTTGGAGCTAGAGGAACTTTCCTAAAGCAAAGGCCCAGAACATCATAATGTCTAACTTGCATTAATATTATTATTATTGTTATTGTGTATATCACCTACTGCCTATACTATATTTTCAGGTACTACTTAAAACATTCAACACAGAGGCTTATAATGCACATGTGTTAGTAGAAATATGGACTAAATAAGACAACAGTGCTGCACTTAGACACTGACTGAAACATGAAAAGCAGAAGCACAGACATGAAAATTAATGCACAGTATACAACAATAAAAACTAAACCACAATAAAAGACATGCATGCAGGTACATGAGGGCAGACTGGCGATAGCAAGATAGTGACAGGTGCAGAAGACAGCAAATGTTAAATGGACTGTACTTAAATGGCACCATTCTTTTAACCACTCAAAGCGCTTTACAGTACATGCCACATTCACTCATTCACACACATTCATACACTGATGACAAAGGCTCATCAGAACAGAAATGTATTGATTCACACACATTCACACACTGATGACAATCAGTTTGGGATTTAGGATCTTGCTCAAGGACACTTTGACATGCAGCGGCGAGAGCCAGGGATCGAACTGTGGAAAGTTCAGCACAGACAGACTGAGGACAACAACATGAAATTGAGTTATATGTTAAACATTTGCTGTAGCTAGTTGGCAAAAAGGTAAATCCTACAATTGTGTAACAATGTATTGTGGGATAATGGGTCTAGAGGGCATTAATGTTTGAGTAATGGTTGATTTTAACTCCACTTACAGATGATTGAGATCAGTTCATCAGTGAAACTTTAAGACCTAAGGCACTCAAATCATGTCATGCTAGCATTACAGGAAGGGGCTAAAAAACTATTCAGTGTTAGGCTTAATTTTAGCAGTGGAAAAACTGGTATGGCTATTTTTGAAGGGATCCCTTGACCTCTGATCTCAAGATTTCAGAATGAAAATTGCTTCTATGGGTACCATCACCTTCTTCATCAACATCTTGTTTGTCTCCGTAGTGGCCATTTCATTGTAGTGAGAACTTTTTTTTTAAACTTGTATATATATATCACTGTATAAAATTAACTATTGTGACATCTAGGATAATCACAGCCTCATGAAATTGTACAAGCACAAACTAGAGACTGAGGGCAAAAACAGCAGACTAGGCTGACAGGACGCTGACATTAAAATATTTATTACATCATCCAAAGCTGGATGCCCCCCCTCCCCCATTTCAAAATTCATTCAGGCACCACTGCCCTGTCTCAGAGATTCAGAAGTCTTCTGAACTAGTTTTCACAGATAGTGTAGGAGCTAAAGGTCTTGAAGAGCAAAACCAGGGAGTTATAAATCAGGACTGGCACACCCATTATTTCTAGTCTGGACAGTTAGGAACAACACTACAATGAGTGCAGTTGGGAGTACACACATGTGATTGTGCCTATAATCATACACTGGGTGTAGTGAACTAACCTGTGCAACCAGCTGCCAGGAGGTGGCAGTGTCCTCGCTGGGCTGGATGCCAAAGTTCCACCTCCTCTGCAGGATGTAGACTACAGGCTCAGCCGAGATGTTAAAGCGGGAGGACCAACGCACCTCCAGCTGGCCAGAGGAGAGCTCTTCAAAGTCCAGCTCCTTCCTTGGCTTCAGGGGAGCACCTGAGAGACCAATATTATCATGTTGTTAAGCCATGAAATGTACATCCGCAAAAGGTAGAACAGAGTAAAACTGAGGGGATGTGAGCATAAAGTATTTTCTTAATTATCAAATCAGATATAATGATATGATTGTAGTAGTTCATAGGTGAAACAGTGTACAGAAATCCGGATGTATTGGGTGTTTTGTGTCAGCAAACTGATATATTTGTCAAACTCTTATGATTAAATTTAGTCTTTTTCCTATATCCCTCGTAGACACCACCATCTACTGTAATTCTCAGGACATATTGGCTGTGTCCCAGCAGAGAAGACATCAAGTTCTTAGTCAGGTCAGTCAGCATCCCCCGGGGCAGCGGGGATTTACAGCTTTACTCAGTGCCACAGTGCGAGAAGGCAAAATGAGTTTCCCCACATCATTCCTCTCCCATCATGTGTGTCGCCATCAGTGAGGCCTGCACGTACTGCTGCAAGCTCACAGGATCTGTTTCTCCTCAGCTCTCTTTGATCCCTCCTCCGACAATGGGGGCCTAAGTAGGGCAAGCTCCACCTGACTCAGACTCACAGCAGCACAGCCACACACTGTTTGTTAGCAGGAGATTTTCCACCTGGAATTACCTCATTTTTCTGAGTAAGGGCCCAAGGGGGTCTGGGATGACATCTTTTTTAGGTTGACAAGAAGTTTATGACAGTTTAAGTATGTCACAGTAAGTAATGCTTGATAACAACAATAATAACGCAGCATTTTTCTAACAATAAATGTAGCTTTATGAATGTATTGATCAGCAGTAATGATGCGTCTATTTCAGCTGAAGCCTCTGATTTGAGTGATGGGCTGTGTGTAATATTACATTAGTCACAGCAGCAGTAACTTTATGTCACTCTCCCAACATGGCAGCAGGAGCAGGCAGGACTCAATCATAATTAATGTTCTGTGTTTTTCAGAACACAGTCAGTTAAGCTGTTGCTCACGATTCCAAATTTAACAGTGAACAGTGAGCTGCGTCCTCAGCCTGAGTCCTGAGCTCCAAATATGTTTGGACAGGAAAAGTCCAATTTCTTCTGGAGATTAAAAATACTTTGGTAACACTTTATATTGTGCAGAATAAGCAAAATAAGCGTTAGTTAATACGTAATAGGGGCCCTTTAAGATGCTTTTAATATTAATACATGTTAATAAGACTATATAAGTGTTAATAATAGCATCATGAACACATTTATTGTTAGTATAGCATATTTATAAACATTAAAAAGAAACTTGCAGTTTATAGACTGCTTAAGAGCATTAAAAAACCCTTTTCTTAAAATTGTAGGTGCTTGTAATGAGTGTTAGTTAATAGGTAATAAAGGCCTTAAAAGATGTTTATTAAGATTAATACATATTAATGTGATTATATAAGTGTTTATTATAGTGTAAATAGAGTATAAAACATGCATAAGCACTTATGGTCCTGCCTGACTGCCATTGCCAATACTGTTGTTGCTGTGCACCTGTCTGTCTGTCTGTCGCTCTCTCTCTCTCTCTCTCTCTCTCTCTCTCTCTCTCTCACCCCAACTGGTCGAGACAGACGACCACCCACCTAGAGCCGGAGGATCTGTCCTAGGTTTCTGCCTTTTAACAGGCAGTTTTTCCTTGCCCTTGTCGCCAAGTGCTTGCTCATGGTGGTACTGTTGGGTCTCTGTAATTAATGTTAAAGAGTTCGGTCTAGACCTGCTCTATTTGAAAAGTGTCCTGAGATAACTTCTGTTATGAATTGGCGCTATACAAATAAAATTGAATTGAATTGAATTGAATTGAATTACAAGAAAGTTCATAGACTGCTCAAGACTAGTGTGAGTGTTTATATCAGTACAAATACATTTACTGAGTTTAAGTAGCTTCTATCTATAATTGTTACATCTTTACTAAGCTTTTGTTGTTGTTTTATTAACATTTCTACATACTTTATTATGGATTTATTTTACTTAAAATTACTTATATATATTTTACTTTTTGGGGGTAGCAGGTTGAAATTGGGAACATGCTTATTAAGGTTAATAAATCCTTAATTGTGCACTCATTAACAGTTACTATGCTTTTATTAATGTTAATAAGCATCTTATAAGGCCATTATTACCTATTAACTAACACTTATTACAAGCACCTACATATTAGGTGTTACCAGTATTGTATTTTTTAATGTAGTTACATTTTATTTTTGATTCACAACTCAGAATATTTGCAGCAGTGGCCTTATTTTGCCCAAGGAAGTGTATTCATCAACTTCACTTTTTCCATTGGATAGACGAGGACTGATATTCCGAATGGGAATTTAATTATGTTTATTGGACTTCATGGATCACAGATTTTAATGTAGGAATCAGCCTTCATTATTTTCAGTATTATAACTATTTGCCAGCAGTTGCTTCATCTGCTTTCTTTCATTCTGCGATTGACAGCAAATTTAGGGCAATGTATATAAATATTTGGGGTCTTTTTATTTTGGAATTTCAGGTGCCTCATGAGGATGAACATTTCTCTCTCTCTCTCTCTCTCTCTCTCTCTCTCTCTCTCTCTGTCTCTCTCTCTCAAAGATATCCATTGGTTCACTGTATTTGTGACTAAATCTAACCAACTTCAACCATAAAGTGCTGCAGCTGCAGGATCATTCCAGTACTGGAATCCCTCCAGACGTGTATTACGACATATACAAATAATCTGCTTGCAACAAAAATGTGTGTCTCATGCAAAAAAGTATAATTTCTATGTTAAAATCATGTAAAAGGCATATACTCCTTCTACCTCATTAACAAATTTCAGATCACATACACCATGCAGATTAAACATCTAACTGTAGGAAGAAGAAGAAACACTGACTGGAGCAGAACTTAAATTAGTTTTCTTCCGACTTGATCAATGATATGGTAAATAAACATGTTTCTGTTGGGCTCTCCTTACCCTTGTAGAGGTCTTTGGGAGACTGGCAGGTGTGGCCACAGCCGTTGGAACAGCATTTCTTCTGAGCGGAGCACTCTTGGTCATGGTCGCAGCTCTCCACACAGGCTGCTGCGAAGCCACTGGCTCTCTCTGGAGGTGGACAGCTGCCCTGCTTCACTGCCAGCACTGACTGAAGGAACTCACAGCTGGTCACACACTCCCAGTGCTTCTTGGGGAACACCCGCTAGATGGGTTGGAGGGAGATCAGTTACCTTATTTTACATTTCACTGTTTCTAATTCTACTGTGGACTACTTTTGCTTTCAGGGCTTCTAATATAATGCATTAATGTGGTTTGTTTGCTTGTTTTGTCATCATAATTATTATATAATATTATATAATTATTTAATTATATTATTATTATTTGTATTACATTAAAAGTGAACGATCACACACTGATAGTTTGGGATGTGTTAAATATATCTGGTTGAAATAAACTGTCATTAGTTTTCTTCCAATTTCACTTCTTAACTGACTTCAGACTGCTAAAAGTCTGATTACTTTCCTGATCAATGAATCTTAACTATTAACAGTACACAGTACAGGGTGTCTGACCCCTGTGATTCATTAATATTAAGGTGTTTGCATCGGACCTCCATCACCTGTAGCCTTCTGATCCAGCTCTACTTTGTGAAAACAGTGTTTCATATTTCATGTTTTTGATCCTCTCACACAGAAAATGTGACTACAGTATGTTCTGCAGTGTACCTCACACAGCTCCCTACAATTGCTTTTCCTCTTCATCTCCCAGGAATCTTTACAGGGCTCCAGGCACTGTGAAAATGAAACAGTGTACAGATTACAGTCTGGAATGAATAAAGAGAAGTTGAGGTGAATCTGTCTCTGTACACTGATCAAGAGATTAATCATTAAATGAACAATTAAAATGTTTGAATGTATATACTGTTTGTTTTTGTCCAGGCCCGGCGTATTTTTGCAAATGCTATTTGGAGCACTAGGACTTGGATTTTTTTCACAGATTATCCGTCTCATGCACTCCTTTTTAGGATATAGTGGCAGTTTCAGCAAATATGACAAAAGTTTTTTTTCATAAAAGTAGCCTGCTACAGCTTTAAGGTTTAGGAAAGATTGTGTTGTTAAATCTTTCAATATCTTTTTCAATATTTAACCAAAACCACCATCCCAAAACCTGTCCAAAATGTTTTATCAGCTTAAAGGTGGGACACAGGCAAGGCCATACTTCATTCTTCAAGGGTGCTCAGGAGATCAGGCACCCACACTCTACTGTGAGCACCAAAGGGAAATGATCATATCAGAAGAGTAGTAAAGTTGTTCAATGAAGATTTTAACCAATCATACAATATATTGCATCACCTTGTGAATCGGCCACCTGAGTTTACTGGAATGCACATTAGAACAGCTGTTCCCAACCTTTTTCCTTAAGGGACTCCTTTTACTATCATTGAGTAAACTAACAACCCCTGACTAAGTGACATATTTTATGGATATTTCATACTATATTCAATAACAGTACATAACAACTTTTTTTTTTAAGATTAACTTTACAATGAACCCAAACAGTGAACACAATAACTGCAGGAAGTTTGTGTAAAACGAGACATTTGGATGACTTTTGAGCAGATTATTTTCTGTGTGTTTGAGTGAGAAAACATGAGTTTTCCTGATTCAGAACGTTTCATACAATTTTGTCTGTATTATGGATTTTTTTCATTAAAAAGAAAATTAAATGTTCAGGTGTTTGCCGTGCCCTTATCCTGTGAGATGTTACTTATATAATAATCTGAATTTATATCAAAATAACATCTTTTTTTTTTATTACTTTCTCCACAGAAATTGATGAATTGCTGAGTTATAGGCCTACTGTATATTTCTAAAAATACCCCCTTGCAAAGCAAACACAACAGAACACTTGATATATTTTAACAAAACATTAAACCGACACAGGTAGAAGCTGTAGAGACTTGCAGTGACCAGTCAATGAATCTATTATGGTCAATTACACCAGGTCTGCAGTGGTCACTACCTATCAAAGTGGTTCAAGGTAGGAAAAACAGTGAAACAGAGAGAGGGTCATGGGTGGCCAAGGCTAACTAATGTAGACCACCAGGGTGCCCAGGTTGTCATAATGTTATGGCTGATCGTGTATGTGGCTTCTTTTAATAGCTGTGTCTAATGTGTATGTGGTGGGTGTCTGCAGGCTTGTATTATTCTGATGGATAAATGATAATAAGGACTTTCTAAAAAATAATCTATGTATTTTATTATTTAACTTTTACAATTTAATCCAAGTGGGAACAGCTGCTTTTATTTTTGGATAAAGTGTCTCTTAAAGGTTCAGCAGAAAAAATACAAGGTGCTAAAAAGCCGCATAACATTTGTGGAGGCTGGTGCACCTTTCTCTCTCTCTCTCTCTCTCTCTCTCTCTCTCTTTCTCTCTCTCTGTCCTTCTCTGATAAGATGTTGTGCTCTGTATAAGAGGGTCCTCAACACTTACTTTGATGTTGTAAGTGGTGGTTCTAGCTGATTAAGATATTGGTGTTATTTTACTGATGATGTAGATATTATCTTACTGATGAAGGCCATGAGAAGATCACTTTAAACCTATTAATAGCTAGTAACTGATAGCTATAACTTTCAAATAAATAATAATAGATTCAAAGTATATGACTTTGTTTGGTTTGTTTTTTCGCAAATATTTATTCAGTATTTCCTGCTAGCCTTTCAACGGACAGTATGAAAATTATTGCAGTGGGGAAGCAGGCTGAATCTTATATTTGATCATAATAATCATATACATAATTATAATCACTAAATGTATTATTGAACGTATATAGTCCCTTTCAATCGTGTTTACAAAATTATTTCCAGAGTAAAAATAAATAAATAAAAATAAACAGGTGGTAATCATAAAAACAAAAAGAATGATAGCAAACAATATATAGACTGAGCATTCAGCATTAAATACCATAAAACAGCAATAAATAAAACAAAGATAAAACAATTACATATTAATGATAATTAAAATATGAATTAACATATTGTTAATTGTATATGGGTCCTTTTTGGTAACTACAGTACATACCTTGACATGAACTCTGGTCTCCAGAGTAAAAGTCCTGTATTTTTTTAAGTTCAAGTATCCACTCTGTATGACTTCTGTCAAAGAATGTAGCCATTGCCAGTGAACAAGTTCCAATTTGGAATTATATTTCCTCCAAAATATATTCATAAAATCAAATTAGTAGTATTTTATCGTATTTTGTCGGATATAGTGGTTCAGTCTAACATGTTGCTGGGTATGGTGTGTAGATGTTAGTGCTACAGTATATGCAAGCACAGTAAAAACTAAAAAGTGAAGGAAAGCTAATGAATGTTGTCCTGTGGCCGTTTCTTGAGCATGTTACCAATTAACAGCATCACCCTCTGTACCATAAAGCTGAATCCTGCACCAGTAAGCAGAGGCAGCCCAGGGGAGCGAGCGTACACTGATTGTAATTTCATGCTGTAGTGAGAAACAGTTGGTAGGAGAGCAATGTACAGCAGCATCACAAGGACACCGCAAGTTGTCTGAAAGTTAGAGGAGCAAACTTGTGTTTACTGATGTCTGCAGAGAATATGTCTCAGGAGTTTGGATATTCATATTCATCGTCTTATAGAGAAGAAAATAGGCTTCTACTGCCATGGTACCATCTCAAGGGATCAAATGCCGTACCTGCCATTTTCAACAGGCGTCAACTATAATCTAATGCTATAATAACTTCAGTTCGATTTTTTTAATATGATGCAGCTAGCCTATCAAACAATATATTATTTCCTAAAATGGGGATACAACACACTGCCCAATAATACAGGAACAAGATTAAAAAGATTAAAGATATTATAGAAATGCAAAGGTTCACAATTTGCTGTGGAGCAAACTGAAAAACTGAACAGAAGAAGGTATTGGACACAATTTTAGGCCACTGGCTGGCCCCAGCAGTGGCCTAGATTGTCTGTTGGCAACTTATATCTTATATTCAAGTCATCCACTACGTAGTTGTTGTTACAACCACAGCACAGTGTGTTAATCTAATAATAAATAATAAAATATAGCTGTCTTTCTGTAGTCTAAGTGTTTCTTAGTTTTCGATGGATCTGAGGACAGGAGCAAGGACTGATAATGACTGATGTCTGTGTGCTTGATGTCAGGAATATTATGTTATTATGTCACTGTTGCTGCTCTAGAAACAATATGTTGTCATATTTAAGATATAAATAAATTCTTATGAAGTTCAGGACATTTTTCTTGCTAATGTTGACTGTAAATGTGAAAAATAACAAGCTGTGTGGGTTGTTTAATTAATATTGTAATAATAATAGTCTAAAATTCAGGGTTAAAAAAAATAACTTGTTTTGTCCAGAGCTAAGGGAGTGGCAGTTTTATAAAAGATTGACTTGGTTCTCTCATCTTCCTGTGGCAGGTTGTCTCCCAGTGAAAGGGGCAAACAGGCTCACTTTGAAGATTGTGAAGGGATGTGTGCTCCCTGCTACAAATATTGCAAGTGTAAAAGTTCTGATCCATCTACTTCAGTACCCCTCCTTCACAAACCACAACCCATTGAACTCAATCCAGCGTTACCATATTCATATGGCAAATTTTGTACATTACATTTGTTCCACTACAGCATGAAAATCAACTCATTTAGAACTGGAACTTGCTTGAATTGTCTCTATGCGTATCATTCCTGCTTTTATAATTACATCATGGTTATGTTGAGGTTATGTAGCAAACCAATATGCACTTTGATAACACATTGATATCTGCTGCTTGTGGTCACCTTTACCTACATTTGAGTAAATATCTGATAAATATATCTTATTATATCTAATATAATTTACAGCATGAAGGACTTGCAGAGACATTCTTTTATATCAGCCTGGCACTCTGGCTGCACATAGCAGTGCTAATTAGATCAGTCATAACAGAATAAGTTGTCTGAATATTGTCATTCAAAATATATGCTACCATAACACTTCTTCATTCAAACAACAAACAAACAAAAGTCACAGTGGATACTCATCTGGTTAGTTACAATACTAAATACAGTACAGTTTACCACAAGCGTATTATTTAAAAACAGATATCTTTATCAGCACATATGAGACTGACTTCTCTCTCACACATGCTCGACAACATATTTATTTCGGACCAACATCATGAAACTATCACTTTTGGAGAATGTCATAACAGACAGGGTGACTGCAGCACCTGTTAATTCAAAGCTGCTGCCGTGCAGTGTAACTATTATAATCTATTAGATAATTTCTCGTTGTGAATATTTTTGCCACTGAAAATGTCAGAGCAGATATTCCTGATTGATTGATTCTGTTTGGACACAGCACATTTTGAAAGCAGGTTAATAGTTTTTGAGCTCAGATCTTGAACATACACAGTGTTGACTAATATTGTAGTAAATGTTGTGCGTAGGTAGGTTGCAGCCCCCTTGCCCATGGAGTGAACAGAATGATAGGACTATACTGGACGTATATGTATGTCACATAATGTAACGAGCTGTGCACATAGAGCTGTTCAGCTGCCAGGCAGAGGCTTTAAGAATAGAGATATTTTCAACTACTGATTATACACTTATAAAGCACCAATTGTTTTATATTGAAAAAGAATTTTAGGAAATAGTCCAGACCTTGGTAGCTGACTACGGCCATTAGTGCATACTAGAGTCCTGATTGTCTGACAACTCATGTTTCTTGACCCATCAGACGTTGTTGCCACATTGCCAGATCCCAGCCAATAC